CCACAAGTAACTTAACCTTCATTGGGATTTACATTTTTCTCAAGCTTACTCCTTATATAAATTAAGTCCCTACCATTACCCAAACAAAATAGAGAAGTCCAGACATACTTGTCTTGCATAATTTTATCTGTATTCCAGAAGTTAAAGAACAGGAAAGAATGCTAGTTTAGAGGCAAAGACTGATGAATAATTTACATCTGTGCATTTTCCCTGAAGAAACAGGAATTCTAATGACCACACAAAACTATGCCTATTGTTCCAAGGGACCAAAACATCAGAAGCAGACCCAGGTTGTTCAGATAATGACTATGGCAAGGCACTGTGATTACTTCACAAGATATCACAGCTTTAGAGGGTGTGGTGAGGGTGAAAGCCCACCCCATGTTGCATTTGCACTGCACTGGCATCTCAGATTAGAGCAAAGAACTTAAAACACACCTGGGCTGTAGTTCTGCCGACTAGCATGCGTGGGAGCGTGTCATAGACACATACAGGTTTTGGTCAATGTATAAAATAAACTTTTGCTACAACTGAGTGGTATCCTCTACAGCAATATGTGGAAGATGATGTTCCCTGTCCGACCTATCAGAGCAGAGCAGCAAGAGCATAGCATAATGTCAGGTCAAGACATTATGCACGACTGCTTATTCATTCACCTATTAATTTGTTTATTCAGCAAATAGCTCCTGTCATATTCTAGACCTCTAGCATTATATAGAGAAAACAAATAGATAATGTCCCCACCTTTCTGACATTTTTATCTATATGGGGAAGATTAACATTAAATAAATCATTTTTAAAATAGCAAACTATCTACATAATTGTGTATTACAAGGACAATGAAGGAAATAGAGAAGATCTCTGTCAAAGAAGGTCTCTCTGAAGGTGTCACACCTGAGCTAAGACATCACCATATGCATTAATCAACCAATGTGAAGGACAAGGGAACTTACAAGGCAGAGGGAACAGTGAGTGCAAAGGCCTGAAGACCACAAAGGGCTTGGCAGGTTGAACAGAAGGAAGACCTTGAACAAGTGAGAGTGGTGTGGTGTGACACTGGGCAGTTTGCTGGGATGTAATTGTGCAGGCTCTGCTGCCCTCTTAACTGGACTACTGATACAGCCATCTGGCTGAAATGATAGTGACTTGGACTGGAGTCAATGCAACAAGAGAGAACTACAAGAGTTGAAGATGTATATATTTTAGAGGTAAGAGTACAAAACATGATGATGGATTGAATCAGGAATGAGGGAAAAAAAAAAGAATGAATCCCAGATTTCTGTCTTGAACAACTAGTTAGGTCATGGTGCCATTTTCTGAGGCTTAATAGTGAAATAACTTTCAGACCTGACTCATCTGGGACACTGAAGTCTAGCTGGTGTGAGTTCTTTTTTATTTCCTAGTTTTTCTTTTTTAATCTGTGACATTAGGTTATTGGGGTTAGATTTCCAACATGTCTTCCATATTTGCAATTAAATTCTCATCTGGATTAAATTACATATATAGAAACACCCTGAAATTCAGAATTAAGTAGCATTATCAAGCCCTGATGTTTTTGATACATACTACATATTACTATGATGGAACACACGTTTTCCACACAATTTCTCTCAAAATTAGCCAAGGGTGTTGTAGCATAAGCTGCTGCTTGAGAAGGCTGCATCCCCTCTCAGAGTGCCTGGTTCAGGAACCAGCTACTCCATTTCCATTCCAGTTTCCTGCTCATGTGCCACCCACACAGAAGACATGCATGGAGGTCCTGGCCCTCGTCTTCAGCTATTGTGGGTATTTGGAGAGTAAATCACTGGATGGAACATCTCTCTTCTCTCTTTCTGTGACTCCCCCTTTCAAGTGATGAAAATAAGTAGTTAAAAAAAAAAAAAAAACTAGTAGCCAGAAACTTGGTGATTTTTCTCAAGTACAGAAAAGGTGACTTTGTGGACTTTCTGTTGGGCTCTTTTTCTGGAGTTTCTCAGCAATAAAGCAATTTCCTGTCAAATCAGATTAATTATAAACTATTTCTTGGAATCCCACACAAAGACACCAAAGCCAAACCATAATAAGTTGCTTGTGGAGAAGCACCCAGATTTGTTGCAGATCACCCGTGAGCCTCCCACCCAAGCACTGTGCTTTGAACACTGCTTTGTAGAAATTACTGTCCAGATTCATAGGCTCCACCAGGATATGGGCAAGTTTTCTCTGTAGAGGGGGGAATAGAAACATCTCAATAATCCTGTGTGCTTGTAACTCTAATTCTGCCTTCTGGGCACATCCTTTTGGGCATGACCTAAGATTCTATCACTAACATAGGCAGCAAATTCCTGTAGTCTGTATCATCAGGTAGATCTTAGTTTGCCCACAGAAATGGTGACATTGCATTCTTGACAAAGGTCATAAATATTAAGAATGCCCAGTAGGATGTAAATAAAGCAACAGCTATAGTAACTCTCTCATCAAAATATCCCTTACTGGACTATACTTACAAGCCCCTAAATAAACTAGGATATTACAAGGAACAACAAAATTGAAATCCAATCACCTCAAACAAGAAAGATACTTAGTATCTCACAGAGCAAGGGCAGGTAGTCCCAGGCTGACTCAGCAGTTCTCTGATGTCCTTTGAGCCTTGGGTTCTGTACCTCTTTGCTCTTCCATCCTCTGCTCCTGGAGTCCTGGACCCTCATACCTGCCACAGTTTTGGGAAACACAGGGGCCAACATTGAACCAAAGAAATGGGTCACTGTATGCTCTATGTCTTTGAGTGAAAGAGAACGGCTGCCCCAGAAGCCCCCAGCACACATCCCCTTGGGTCCTTTTCCAAGGGGTACCCAATGTCCCTCATTGGGATAAAAGGGCATTTCATTATCCCAAACTTTTTTGCTTTGCCTCTCAATCTCCATGATCTATCCATTCTGGTGGATTTCTTTTAGCCCTATCTTTTACTGTGTTAACTGAGATCCTCATTGATTCCACCTTTATCTGTTTCTACATTGCCACTGGAATGTTCTTTTAAAACAAATCTAATTATGCTGCCATCCTACTAGAAACCCTTCAGTGATTCTTAGTCACACATGGGATTCAACTGAAAATTTTTTTTAGCTACAGGAATTATTCCTTCTCTCTCTTTTAAAAAGTTTTACCAAGCAGTTGACTGCAACCACCAGATTAATGTAGAGCTTCTCTGAATGGAATAGGGGTGAGGAAGGGACCCATAGCTTAACCAGGTAGATCCCTTCTCTTCACACCAAGACCCCTAAGCCTCTCCCTGGACTACCTGTTGGTAAGGCAAATGAAAATGCCAACTACCAGAGGGTATAGGTTTCAGGAGTATCAGCCAGGCTCATGGCATAGACTTGGATGGGACAGGAGCTGAGGTCAGGGACACACTCACCCAGAGATCACAAAGAAGAGGGCCCCACAGAGAGATGTCTACAAGTGTCATATGATGTAGTGCCCACAAGGCATGTAACATCTAGTAAAACAAAACGATGTCTCTATTTCACCTCTCAGATTCTAGGAATGTGCCTTATAGAGGAATTCATACTCTGGGGAATAAGTTAACACAGATGCTTAAGGACAAAGTAAGGAAGCCCAAATGCAACCAATATCAATAACTGAGAATAGCAATTTCTAATTGTATGAATTGTGTTTGTGTTTATATTTTTTTCATTCTTATAGCTTTTTCATAAAGAGTTAAAAAATGCTTTGGTAGTACTTAAGATTCACACTTCTCTCTCCCCTCCTCTTTTCTTCTCAATAATTTTTGTATTAGAAATCCTGAGTTAACCAACATTTCATGTGTTTCCATTTCTGAACAAGGCAGTTCTGAGTTAAATAAGCTCCAGGATGGAATATCAAACAGAATTACAATAAGTGAATATGCTTATTATTCTAATTATTCCCTGCTCTTGTTACCAACCTGTATTTCTTCTTTATATCTATTTAAGGATTCGGTCTTTTTTTTTTTTTTTTTTTTTTTTGTACTTCTGTAAAGACCAAAGAGCTATTTAAATGCAGTTTACATTCTTGTTATGGAATATGACCTTTTTAATGAGGGAAATGTTAATGAAGACTAATTAATGAATAATTTTAACAAGTAAAGGAGTTGTCAGTTTGAGGCAAGAGATGAATGGGTTGTGCACTGCAGCAGGTGTTTGCATATTGACAGTGACATTGTCAGAAGGGGGGGAGGAGAAAGGAAGAGAGTGCAACAGAGCAGGCGCCAACCAGACCAGACTGTTCAACTCTGTTTGCTTGTATCTATTCTCATTTCCAAAAGGATTTGAGGAACAATTGTCCTCTTGCGTACTGTGTGGATCCCAGACAGATCTTCAACTGAAGATCTGCTTCCCTCTCTACTCTGACAATCCCACCCTCTACCTCCTGTCTACCTAGACCTCATTTTTGTTGTCACTGTGGGTTTTTCTGCTTCTACCTTTACAGTCTGCCCGCACTACACCCTGGGGCTGACCTGTTTCTGGCCATGGGTCATTGCAACCTCTTCTGATACCAGCAGCTTCTTCCTGGTCCAAGGATCTGGTTGTGGGAACACCATTTCTGGTTTCTTCCAGACCTGCAAACTGAGAACCCACCCAAACCCCAACCTCTCCACTGTCCATAGGGACTTCATAGAAACTCAGTACCAATGAGAAGCTGAAAATAAGTATCCATTATCTGGAGCTTCAAACTGATGTTGATTTCTCTGCTAATCCTTTTAAACATGATATGAGCTTAAATTAACAGCAGCAGAGACAAAGTGATTTAGGAAAATGATAATGTTATCCTATCCTATTTCAATGACACTCTAACATGGTTAAGAAAATTGACTGTCAAATTTGATCAGTGTTGTTGCAGTGAACAGCTATCATTCCCGGAGTGGTTAGAGTCAAATTCTTACCCAGCAGTAGTGCTTTTAATGACAGAATCCAGTAACTACGAGAAGCAACTGAATCTCAGTGCATTGCTGACCTCCTACACTGCCTCTCTTTTCTGTTTTTCAGGCACAACATGTTTGATTGCTCTACTGTCAGATAAAGACCTCACTGTGGCCAATGTGGGTGACTCACGTGGTGTCCTGTGTGACAAAGATGGGAACGCCATTCCTTTGTCTCATGATCACAAGCCTTATCAACTGAAGGAAAGAAAGAGGATAAAGAGAGCTGGTAAGTTTCTGAAGGCCTGTGAGAAGTCTGCCATCTTGTTTGGTGGTCAAGGCCCTTGCTTTGAGAGCTTATGAAGGATCAAATGTTTGGGTACCCAGTGATTAGCCCCTCAGGACCGAGGCTACTACTGAGAGAGCTTAGACTTGACTTTATAATGTTTTCTATCAAATAAATAGCCACTGAATTTTCCCTCCTTCATGGCCAAAGATTTCAGAAGGACCCCTACAATCCCTTCACCAATTTAAGTGAGAACTTTGGGCCTCTGCTTCCCACCCCCTTCTCATCTGTTATCATACCTTGCTTCCTGCCAACTACTAACAATTCCCCAAATGAACCTTGTTTCTAATACCTCTGTGCCTTCGCAGGTGCTGTTCCTGCTGTCTAGTGCATGATAGTTATTTTGTACCTGAAGATTCAGTTTAAGGGCTCCTTTTGGAAGCCTTCTTATCACACTGTGGCTAAGGCTCCCCTAATGTGAGTTGTGTGCCCTTTCTTTCCCCTACCATCTTATGTGGACCCCTTGGGTCATCTCTCACAGTGTATACACATACCTGGCTCTCTTACGTGTCTTGCTTTCTTGACTATGAACTCTTTGAGGGAAAGAGGTCTTGACTATCTTTGAATTTCCAGCACTTAGCTCAAGTACCTAACTAAGTTTACTTATTTATTCCAAATCTGTCCTCCCCAAAATAGCCTCCTGAGAAATTTACATTCTGAAATATTCCTGGAAATGAGGGATGGAATGGACATTAATGAGAGAAAATCAATTTAAAACTAAGTTATATTTCAAGGTGATAACTGCTGTGGAGACACAAAGTAGGTGAGGGAATGAAGAGGGACAGGGAGCTGCAGTTTTAAGTAGGGAGTGCCAGGTAGGCATCACTAAGGTGACATGTGAACAAAGACTTGAGGGAGGATTATCAGTTGATTATTACACTTTCTTTTTTTTTTTTTTTTTTTTTTTTTTTTTGATAGGCAGAGTGGACAGTGAGAGAGAGAGACAGAGAGAGAAAGGTCTTCCTTTGCCGCTGGTTCACCCTCCAATGGCCGCCGCTGCAGCCGGCGCACCGCGCTGATCCTGGCAGGAGCCAGGATCCAGGTGCTTTTCCTGGTCTCCCATGGGGTGCAGGGCCCAAGCACCTGGGCCATCCTCCACTGCACTCCCTGGCCATAGCAGAGAGCTGGCCTGGAAGAGGGGCAACCGGGACAGAATCCGGCGCCCCAACCGGGACTAGAACCCGGTGTGCCGGCGCCGCAAGGTGGAGGATTAGCCTATTGAGCCACGGCGCCGGCTCGATTATTACACTTTCATAATTAGACTTGGGGGCATTTCATTCTACCTGTGGAGGGCAGGTTACGTTCACTCCCCAGACAACTGCAGCATGCAGGCTCTGTATGATGTGCCAGGAAGCAGGATGCTCAAGTACACTGGTCTCTGACCAAGACAGTCCTCTGCTATCTGCACTCTCAACCTACAGGTCAGCTTCTGCCCAATGAATAAATGACGTGAACTTAATCAACATTGGAGTTTTCACAGGAGGAAGCTGTAGTGTTGAGTCAAAAAGTGGTCACTTTCATTACAACTCCCTACTTCAGTGACTGCTTGAGATGCAGAATAATTTTGAATAAAAGCTTTGGTCTGGTTTTCTGTTGATGGGATGGAACAAACAATAGTTTAGGAGCATCCAACTTTGATGAGCTCCAGACAGAAGGAGCAAAATACTCTGGCTTCCTTACTTATGAAGATACCATGTCTTCAGTAAGATTCTGCTGTGATCCTAGACTTAAGATAGTTACCTATTCCTTCACAAAGGCAGGTGAGGCTGTATACCTGATACACCTGGAAATGCCACCACAGTATCCAATGCTGTCTTGTGAAATGTCACTGCTATTTTACCCTCCCTCTTTTTCCCTGCCAGACCTTCCACCCACACCCTCATCCTACAGTGATTCTTCACTGAAGCAAATTTGGATACCATATCTCCAAAGAGACCTCTCTAACCTGTTCTTTTACATAATTCAGTATATTTATAGCAGGATATTTATATCAGGATATAGCAGTATATTTTATAGCAAGATTTAAGGAACAATGATTAGTTTTGCCATCTTTATGTGTCTTCTCTGATTCTAGCCTTCCTTTCAGGACATCTTTCCCTCTCCCATTAAGCATGAGAATAAGCTCCAACCACTGTGGCCAAATATCATTCATGTTAGACTATCTCTGCTCCTTATACTGCTTCCAATAACAACAGCAGTAGCATCAGCTGTCATTCATTGTTTGTACACTCAGTGCTGGCAGCCAAGCATAGTGCTTCATGGACACTTGCCCTTTACCTGTCTTTTGAGGTTGCTAATATTATCAGCATTTAACAAGGGTTTGGAACTGGAGTCCCAAAGAAGCTTACATACCCAAGGACACAAGGATAGCAAATGGGGAAACCTGAATTAAACCCAGAATTGTCTGACTCCTGAGCCCATGCTTTTGCCCACTAGGCAATACTTTCCGGAATATCCCCTGCATTCAGGCCCACAGAAATTCTACATGTCATTTGGACTCCAGGTTTAACACTCATTCCTTTCTGGTCACAACCAGAAATCACTCCTCTATCCATCATCTGCAGGATTTAGCAGGTCCTGGACTCCCCTGAAAGAACACTACACTCTGCATGTACCATTTAATGTATAGGGCTTATCTCTCCTGTCAAATGACCTACTTCTTAAGATAAAGATATCTGGATTTTGTTTTCCTTAATCCTGATTTGGGGGGTTATTATGAGATACAGGAACACTCAAGGGTATCCTGTGTCCAGTCTCTGGTGCCTATCCGCCTTTCAGCATTTCTTTGACACTCTCCATGAAAATCCATGCTAGTGTTCTCTATTATTAAACACTGAGCTGCCATGGTGCCCCTCACATTACCTATCCTAATTGATATGGTCTTGAAAGCCCTCTGGATGCCAAGAAGGAGCACATGAGGCCCTACTGGTAGAGTCAAACTGCAAGCCACACAGCAGGATGCTGCTTGGTCCTGGCAGTGATGGGGTTGGGGGAATGCCAGTGGCCCAACTCACATGCAGTAGGTCAGCCTGTTGTACATGTATCCAGACTGTAATGGCCATGGGGAGAATCAGCTGGGTAAGCTAATGGGCTCATTCTGTCTTTCCAGGTGGTTTCATCAGTTTCAATGGCTCCTGGAGGGTCCAGGGAATTCTGGCTATGTCTCGGTCTCTAGGAGATTATCCACTGAAAAATCTCAACGTCGTCATCCCAGACCCAGATATCCTGACCTTTGACCTGGACAAGCTCCAGCCTGAGTTCATGATCTTGGCATCAGATGGCCTCTGGGATGCTTTCAGCAATGAAGAAGCAGTTCGATTCATCAAGGAGCGCTTGGATGAACCTCACTTTGGGGCCAAGAGCATAGTTTTACAGTCATTTTACAGGGGCTGTCCTGACAATATAACAGTCATGGTGGTGAAGTTCAGGAATAGCAACAAAATAGAAGAGCAGTGAACCCTTCAGGGGTCTCAGCTGCCTTTGACAAAAGGACTACAACACACTGGTCTCTTTTAATGTAGTGAAGGTGTGGGAGTTGTAATTAGGATCATCCATCCCAGACACGGAATCCCCCCCTCCATGGTGGCCATTGGTTTCTATTCAGTGAACAGAGGGTGCTCTTAGCCAATGTAGTTGAGAGGCTGGAAAATGTTTTCACCACATTTTCCCAAGTCTTTCATCCAATGTCCAAAATATAGAATTAGATAGCTGTAAATTAACATGTGTGAGGTGAGTGGCAAATGTACCATGTGTTCTCCCTTTTTAGATTCTTTCAAGATCTTTTTCAGGGTCCTCCAGGTATCAGCCTTTGTGTCTCTCCTTGGAAAAGTGGGCAGGGCAGGCCTCCCCGGAAGCAGGAGGCAAGCCACTGCTTCACCCGTGAGTCCAGGGCTGACGTGGCAGTGCCCTCTGCTGAGAGGCGGAGCTGTCCTCTTGAGTGTAGGTTTTCTGCTCAGCAGCAGCCTACATATCCATTTGGAATGGTTCGTTATTCAGTGGCTGATCTTGGAGACAGAAGGGAGGATGGGAGATCCGTGGCAGCCACCTGCACAGCAGAGACAATCCTTTTCTCTGGTCCCCTTTTTTAGTTACACAGACTTTGTATACCACCTGACCTGCCTTTGTGCTTTATCCTGATTGTGCATGACCTTAACCTTACCGTATGTAATAGGCAGCTGTTAATGTCACCACCAAACACTACAATTTTTCATCTTATGTTACCAAAAAACCATATCAGGGGAAATAAAAAAAAAACCAATCACAATGCCCATCTCTAAGGACAGACAGAGGAAAAGAACGCTGAACAAGCCACAGCTCCCCTGGGAAGTCAGCTATTCACAGTGGGAGAGAAAGGTAGGATCTGGGGAGGTTACCACCCAGAACTGAGCTCCAGCTGCCAGTTTATGCGCAATCTTTCCTCTGCCCCTATCTTAGTAGCTTTCAAAGTGTCTTTCAAGCAGTTTTCTGAGAAACAGCAGCCTGGAACTGCATGTGTGTTTCCTGAAGCCTCGTACAGAGTTCCTAGCCACCACAATTTGGAATTTGTTGGTAAACTAGTGAGACACTGCCCCTTGACAATGGAAAAACAACAGCCTTTTAACATTTGGTTGCAAATCTCCATCTACACTGGGTAGCGTTCCTCAGATGCACGCGAATTGCCCCACACAGCCTGCACGGGAGGCAGCAAAGGGACACCAAGGGACCTGTGTGCAGTGACGACAAAGCTGGTTGGGAATGCAAGCATGAGCCTGGCTTGCTGCTCTGCTCCACTATCACCAAAGTCACATTTTTTTTAACCGGTATTTTATAAATTAATTTATAAGACAAAGCTGGGTTATCATCTTTGCCTGGCTGAAGTGGCCCAAGTCAAGCAAGATTTTTGTTGCATTCCTACCCGTCTTGTGTGGTTTTGTTCTTTCTGAGTGGACATTTGTTGTTACAGCTTCTTGCAGGCCCCATCCACTGGCCATCTCCCAGCAGCCATGCCCCACCCTCTGCCCACCATCTGCTGTGGAACTTTCCTGAAGCATTGCCAGGACGGAACTCAGAACTCAGGAGAATGAAAAGATTGTCTTGTGGCTGCCAAGGAGTGCCATCCATCTTGATTCATCCAAGCACTCACCTTTGACTACTATGAGAATTAATGATTTCCCAAGAGATTTGCTTACTTTTTTTTGTGTGTGTGTGTGCTGTATTTTCCAAGAGTAGAATTAGAACCTTGGTTGTTTTTAGCCATAGAATGTTCTAGTACAAAATATATGCCACCATTTTAGATATAAGCATTTGCCTATTGAGATGCTGAAAATTTGGAGGTGTGTTTTTAGGGCAGGCTGGGGAGAGAGATACATGAAATCAATGCTGGGTAGCTGAGTCGCTTGAGATTTAGGTTCTAATGCTGCAGAATAGCTGCACCCACTGTCTAACAGAAGTTCCAGCATTTTACAGACCACAGCTAGCTTGCCTTTTTTATTTTTAACTTAACATAAAAAATGCTTCATAAAAAAGGAAAGATGTTTTTAAATCCCACAATAACTTTTATTGTATAAAATGAAAAAATGTTATGTTTTGGTGAAGATGAAAAAAAAAACTAAATTAGAAAATTAGTATGTACCTATCCTGCAGAATTCCTTAGTGGATGGTGCTGAGTGTACAAGTTACCTAGCTTGCTCTGAGATTCACAAAGCTGCTTGCAAGTTTGAGTTTGCATAATTCATTCATTTCTCATTTTAATCAGAGGGTATACCTCCTGCTCCCTTTCTGCCTCCCCCACCACACAATGGCTTCTAGATTTTTTTTTAAAAGATATAAGTTTTAGGCAAAAATCATACTAATTTGGTGAATAGTTAAGTCAAAAACCAGAGTGCTTTGTCCCCTTCCCCCATATCGTCTTGCAGCTGTCTCCTTCTGACCCCATTCAGCTCTTGGGGTCTGCAGTCATCACTCCTGGGTTTCCCAGTGATGCACTGGTTGCTCCCCTTCTCTAGTGGCCCAGGGAGGTAAATTTAGCCATTAGGGAAATTGATTTAGGAAGTCTGAACTTGAAGCTTCCCTAAACAGCACTGCCAAAGCTTTGGAATTGTTGCCCGAGACTGCCTGGACTCTCTAGCTAGCCTGAGTTCGAATTGCCAATAGTCCCCATGGTGCCAAATTTTGGGATGGTTTTACAATGTTTTAGAAATGAAGCTGGGAATGATCACATGCTTATGAGCCCCCAGCAATTTGCCAAGCCCAGGTCCTCATTTATGCACTGCTCCGCTGCTGTTCCACTGGCAATTTGTACTCTTCAAGTGGATTAGGGTTGGCAGGGGAAGAAGGGCCAGGGAAAATGTTTTTAAAATTCATTGTATTTGATATTCTTTAATCATAGGAATAAACAATACTTAGATAGCTCCAAAGCTAGCTCTATGATCTGAGTTTACTTTATAGGACCAACTTTCCCAAGGGAATTAACTGAGTCACTGTTCTAACACAACATGACTAGGCACGTGTCCACATTACTACTGGTAACCAGTGGCTATGTTCTATTCCTTGCTGTGGATTGAAGGTATTGGACTCTTGATTTTGTATTTCTGATGAGAGAATTACACAGAGAACATTACAGTGAAGGAGCGTATGCAAGCTAGGCAATTTAAAACAGGCCTTATTTCCTACAAATGCAGTGATTGCAATATTTTGTTCAGGTAACAAACAGGATTGCATGAATAATGACATCATAATTTCTATCCAATCTGAAATGATTCCAAGAAATTTACTATACTATTGGATTGGGTAACTGGGGTGTCTGGAACTATAGAAGGGATGCAGAAGAGGAGTCATCACTTTTTCTTTTGTGAGATGTACCTTTATCTTCCTGAATTTTTCCCTGAGTTGTTGCCAGATCTAAATTTACAAAGGGCAACATTTCAGTGTATATTTGAAAGTACTATATAGGAATACATACTTTGTATAAAGCTTTATTTTCCCATAATTTCAGAAATTCTTTTTTCTTCCTGTTGACCCATTATTAGATTGGTCTTCCCTTACTGTTGCTCTAGAATTGCCATAGCATCTCACACCAGCATTCCTGCTCTGGCTCTGGAGAACTGGTATGGCTGTTAGAATTCCATGATAGGGCCAGTTTACTCACACTTGCGTTATTTAATTAATTGACTAATCAATTATTTAATCAATTATTTAATTGATATCTAGATTCTTGAGCTAGTTAGAGGCACACTGCAGGAATAAAAGAATCCAATGTTCCTCAAAATGTGTTCCCAAGAACACAAGTTCCAAAGATGTTCAAAATACTAGATTCCAAATGAATTTGGGAAACAAACACTTGCTTAGAAAGTATATTTAGGCTCACTGAAGGCTGTGGGTTAAGTGTCCTGCAAGGGAGAAGGAAACATCCACATACACAGTTACTAGTTTAGTGTTTTCCAGATGAATCTGATCACAGAAATTTTTCCTGAGTAACACCCAGAGACATTCCATGGAACTTGTGTTCCACAGAACACACTTTGGGGAAGTCTGGATGGTGCAAAGCTTTCTCATTCACCATGACCCTTATTAGTAGTGGCAGTACAATTTGCAATTTAGAGGCACTAATCATTTCACAGAAGAGGCTGACATTAATAAAAACACTATTAAGAAACAACAGTATGATTTAAGATGACCACCAGCAGCCTCACATTGATAGCAGAAGCCCAGTAATTGTACTTGAGGCTCTCAACATTATCTCCCAACTTTACATGAACAACAAGCAAGAGCTTGCCATAGTGAGGCATTTCTCAAATTCATTCTATGAGCTTTCAGGTGCTTTTTTTGCACTTATTTTTGCTTTCCAGATTGAATCAAAACAGATATTTTTACATTTCATCATGTGATAGTAAAGAATATACAAAAAACAGGATAAAGAAAAAAACATACTTGGTTTTAATTCATTTTTCTTCAATGGGATTTTTCAATTATTTGTTGTCTAATAATGGAAATGTAACCTATTAATATTTACTCTTTCTTATGTTATTCTTTCCAGATTTAAAAAGTTGAAATCAATTAGAGTTCATATGTTCTAAAATTCCTACCCCATGACATCTCACTTTTCACATTGATGTATATAGTTAAGAGTGTCAAGTTATTTCTTTCCTAAAATGGCAGGCTTATAGTTCCAAAATAGTAACCCTCGGCCTGGGAAATGTGTTTGGGAAACTATGAGAGATAGCCGCAAAATGATGGGTGAAATAAATCTAGTCAAAACATGGTATACATTGAATTTAGAGTAAAATCATTAATTTAAAATCATATAGAATATTTACACACCCCTTTGGACGGACATTTTAACCAAAGTAGTAAAAAAACTAAAAGACTCCTTAGGCTAGATGACATGTTGCAAAAGGCAAGGCAGAGTCTATACTATTAAGCTGCCAGTAAATATATGTTACTAAATGTGTTTCGTAATGTGTACATTTTTTTGCTGATTCTTAGTAAGGTTAATGCTTTGTCTATTATTTGTTCTTTTTACCACTGTTAAACTGCAAACTGTTAAGCCAAGGGTTGACTGTGATCATTTTGTGTGTTTAGTCATAACCACACCATCATATGTACAATCACTTTAATAAATCCAAGTTAAGGACTTTGAGAAGTACATAGCAACTGTTCATTTTAACAAATCATCATAGGCAGTTTTCCTGTTTAAAACTCCACCAAAATAGCAAAAAGTGTACATTATATTTAGAAAAGTGTTCCATTTACTCCCTAAGTCCCATATCTGACAATACTTAACCACAAAATTCCAACTGACATTTGCCAAATCCAAATTAATCTCGAAAACCTCCAAGACCAGCAGCCCTGTTTCAGAGCACAAGCAGATGACTATCAAGGTTCTGGAGGCAGATTTTGGTGGAGGAGGAGGGAGAACAGCAAGAAAATCTGCCTGGGTTGCTCACCACCTCTGCAGAAGATGGACTATCAACCAGATGTTCTCTCCTCACCTTTTGTCACGAGGCAATTCAGAAGTTACATGTGATACTATGCATTATCTCAAATACTTTAACAGTTCACAATTTAAAATATCCCAGATATTAATATAAAAAGTAGGTTATCAAAAATTAATTATCAGATTTTTAAATTAAGATTATAGATTTTATTCAATGGCAATTTCTGACATCTGAACATAGATCAGTAGTAATCAGCTGTTACCACTTTTCACTATTCAAAAAACTGGCCTCCCTTTAAGAATACTGGCTAATGCTTTTCCTGTATGTTAATGAATACAGCATTTTTAAAGAGTGTAAATTTTCAATATATTTATTTAATTCATTTGAGAGTCAGGGAGAGAGGTAGGGAGACAGAACTGCCATCCACTGGTTCACTCCCCAATGCCTGGGTCCTAGGAACTTAATCCAGGTTTCCCAGGTGGGTGGCAGGGATGCCACCTCTTGAGCCATTACCTACTGTGACTTGAACTCAATATGGGATGTAGGCATCCCAACCAGAGGCTTAACTGCTACAACAAACACCTGCCCAAGGAAGTATTCAAAGCTTCCTTTTTACAGGGCTGATGGTACAGGCAGAATCACATTTAAGAAAAATACTTTGGAACACTTTTTTCATTAAAAAACTTCAAAATTAATTTCCAGTGTGATCAAAGTTAGAATGTAAAGGAATTAAGGGCCAGCGCCATGGCTCACTTGGTTAATCCTCCGCCTGCGACACCAGCATCACATACAGGTGCTGGCTCTAGTCCCAGCTGCTCCTCTTCCAGTCCAGCTCTCTGCTGTGGCCTGGGAAGGTAGTGGAGGATGGCCCAAGTGCTTAGGCCCCTGCACCCGCGTGGGAGACCAGGAGGAAGCACCTGGTTCCTGGCTTCAGATTGGCGCAGTTTGGGCCATACCTCTATTTGGGGGGTGAACCAACAGAAGGAAGACCTTTCTCTCTGTCTGTAAATCTACCTGTCAAATAAATTTTAAAAAAATGTAAAGGAATTAAAAAAAAACACAAAAGGTAAAATCAAAGAATAATATAAGAAGACATCTTTTAAATTAAGAAAAGAATGCATTGTATTTTAGTACATCATGATTCAAACTTTTTGGTATTTGTGCTTACTGACACTAAGGAAATAACATTGAAATGAGAAAATGAGCATTATGAATTAGTAAATTACAGTCCTTATTTAATTTTTTCTCAGTGAAAATGCACAGGTTTGGACTCATTTACTGTTGTCCTAAACACCTTTATTATCCTAGGTTTTGCCATTCTCATGTTTCCTGGACATGAGTTTACCCTGAATCATTAAAATTTTTGCATTTTCAAAGAGTAAATACCCCTTTTTTAGGATTTTTGAAGGTACTAACATGTGTATAAGATACTAAATGGTTGGAATCACATTTTAGAATTCCCAAGTAAAAAAGTCAAATGCGGGCTGGTGCTGTGCCAGCAGCATTTCATGTAGGCATGCCAGTTTGCATTCCTGGCTGCTCCACCTCCAATCCAGCTCCCTGCTAATATACTTGGGGAAAGCAGTGGAGGGCAACTCAAGTCCTTGGGTCCCTACACCCAAATGAGGGACCTGGGAAAAATTCCTAGCTCCTGGCTTAGGCCTGGCCTGGCTTGATCTGGCTTGGCCCTGGCCCGGCCCCAGCTGTTGAGGCCATTTTGGGGAGTAACCAGCAGATGGAACGTTTCTCTCTCTCTCTTTTGCTCTCTCTCTCTCTCCTTCCATCATTTTCTCTCTCCCCAACCCTGCCTTTCAAATAAAGTCATAAAATCATAAATTTTAACATACTGATTATTTTCAAAATGCCAACATGAATACCAGTGAGTATTCAATTTATTTTTTTTATTTGTCTAAAAGGCAGAGTGACATTGAAAGAGAACATGCTCAGCCGGCGCCGCGGCTCACTAGGCTAATCCTCCACCTTGCGGTGCCGGCACACCGGGTTCTAGTCCCAAGCCGGGGCACCAGATTCTGTCCTGGTTGCCCCTGTTCCAGGCCAGCTCTCTGCTGTGGCCAGGGAAGGCAGTGGAGGATGGCCCAAGTGCTTGGACCCTGCACCCCATGGGAGACCAGGAGAAGCACCTGGCTCCTGCCATCGGATCAGCGCGGTGCGCCAGCCGCAGCGCGCCAGCCGCAGCGGCCACTGGAGGGTGAACCAACGGCAAAAGGAAGACCTTTCTCTCTCTCTCTCACTGTCCACTCTGCCTGTCAAAAAAAAAAGAAAGAGAACATGCTCGTCCATTCACTGGTTCACTCACCAAATGGCCTCAACAGCTGGGGCTGGGCCAAACTGAAGTCAGGATCCAGAAACTCTATCCAGGTTGCAGAACTACACTCATTTAATATTTAATTTAATGTTCTTGTACTTAGAGAGTTTTCCAATCCATATAATGCTCATGTTGCTTATATAATTTTTCAAAACCTTATAGAAATGATATATCAGACATCCTTAACCCAAGAGAATGATATAAGCTTAAAATCTTAATGTCTTTAGTATACGTAAGGACAAATAATGACTGTTTGGTGTAATGATGCAAAAGTATAAATATATAAATCCAGCTACATGGAGAGAAGCTAGAACCATGAAACATTAAGCAAGAATTCTCCTGATTTTGGCTCCAAGACTACAACCAGTATATATACATTTGTCAACTTCATTATCCTCTTATCCCAGGCATGTATTTAGAAAATGCAATCATAAATATACCAATAGAGAGGACTTTTGCTTCTATTCTGGAACGTAGTGTTCAGCCTGGTTAATTTACCACTGTGTTGATGTTGCAACATTAACATCTATAACATTGACTTTCCATTTGCCCTTCAATTATTAAAGCAAGCGATTTTGATGTAGCGCACCTACAGAACTCTAATAAGTTACAGAGTTGAAATCTACAAGAATTCCCCAACATTCCCATGGGCAACCAGAAAAAAAGAAAAAAAATTTCAAGGGGGAAGGCATTTAACATAGTGGTTAAGAAGCCCACATTCCATATCAGAGTAACTGGGTTTGATACCTGGCTCCAGTTCTTGACTCCAGCTTCCCACTAATGAGGACCCTGGAAGGCAGCAGTGATGAGTCAAATGATTGAGTTCCTTCCACCCAGGAGAGACACCTGGATTGAGGTCCCTATGTGTCAGAGACCCTAACTGAATTCCTGGCTTCCAGCTTCAGCCAGTCTAATCCAAGCTATTATGGGCATTTGGGGAATGAAGCAGCCAGTGGAAGAGCTCATGCTTGTGAACACACACTCCCTCTCTACCAACCCCTCCTTTCCCCACAGTTAAAAGTGAAGAAATGCTAGTGAGTTCAGAATTATTCTGACAACCTTGGAAAATAGTTATCAGTTAATTCCAAAGGATTCCAAAGTAAATTCTGTCCAAATGCTTATTCCTATAAGTAAAATATATGAGATATTTAAAGAAAAGGAAGAAAGCATCTTTGTATTTACAACAGATTGATCTACCTTATGAACAGATTGCATTGGTAAGTCACTATTTTTGCTCTAAGTAAGTATGATTGTATTTGAGACAAAGAGAATACTCTCATCACCTGGTTTACTCCCCAGGTTCTTGAAATGAGCAGGGCAATGAGTCAGGAACTGGGAACACAATCCAAATCCCCATGTGGATGGCAGGAACCCAATTATTTCAGCCATCATAACTGCCTCACAGAATCCACATTGGCAGGAAGCCTGAATAAGGAGCCAGAGCTAGGAATTGAACCCAGGTACTCCAGTATGGTATACAGGTGTCACTTCATTTGCCTTTAGTCTTTCCTTTATTAATTGTTCTTCCAGAGGATCCAACACGTGCCAGGGAGTGACTGTGTAAGACTATGTCTAGGAGTGAGCACTCAGGTACTATTTGTTGCTGCCTTCTTGGGGTTTATAGCTTTGTGTGGGGCTTCACAGATATTATATGGCTCAGTACTGGCAGAATGAAGTAAAATTCAATATCCTTTGTGATTTCCTCTGATCACATGTCAGAATTTGAATAATTTTTATCTAAACATAATAGAGGATGGTAAGCAATTGGAGATATCTGGCCTACACCCAAGCAAACTTCAACAGTTACTCCTATTTTCTTAAGAATGGAGTAAGAAGGTAAGACCTCAAAGCCTATGGGGAACAAGAAAGGTGGGCAGGACAAACCCAGTGGAAGGACAGTGCAACCTATGTGTGACAGAAGCCTGATAATCCAAATTTCTGATATCCTACTTTTATATTTGTCTAGGTGCCCAAAAGAGTATTTCCCCTCTTAGTTCCTTGACTATGCCTTCTACCTTTGCCTATGCATGAACACATTTTAAATTATGGATTGTCTGACTAAAATATAAATATCTCGAGACAATGCATGATATCTCATTTAATTTCTGAATTGCCTCACAACAAAAGGTGATGCAAGAACGTATGACTGACATGGTCACCAGAAGCTTCCACACAAGGAGGCAGCTGTCAGGGTTCAGCAGGAGTCTGCTCAAAGCCAGGCTGTCTATTCCTCCATTAAAGGAAACCAAGGAGGAAAGAGAATGTCCATGACCTATTTTTATTTTTGTTCCCATGAGACTATAGAGTGTAACAACTCCATGCCCCAAACCTAAAGTATTTATCATCAGTATTCTTGAGTCTATGAATTAGCAAATCTACTATATGAGAAATTAGCATATTTTAGAGGCAAAATTATTTCTTGCCTTCAAATATGAACACTAAATACTAGATATTTGTACTTGTAGTTACTTTATACATTTATACATTTGCCTGCCTGCTCACCTTCCTTAAAAATCTCTTCCTGTTTGTGCCAATGGCTTCTTTATCCAAGTAATATTAGCTGTTGCCAAATTACATTAGAATCCTGCTAATTAGAATAATTCTTTCCTATGCATAATAGTATATGGTAAGAGATTAAGAATATATCATTGTGACCAGGATTAAGACTTTTGTTGTTTTGTTTTTAATCATGAGAATTTATCAAAGGGAATTCAAGTTAAGTCAAGCAAATTTCTGATTTGGTAAGGTTAAAATGACAGGTGGAACCTAGTTATTAAAGAAGGAAAGAAGAAAGATGTCGGGAGAGAAAGAAAAGGGAAAGAAAAACCAAAACTACCCTTTTTTGTGGATTATCCTGCTGAATTTTAAAAGTTACTCTACAAGCTTTTTTTTTATACATATTTCAACCTCAGGAAAAATTTTTCCAACACCATTTTCTTGCTACTTTAAAAATCACAGGGAGTTGTTATTAAAAAGGTACCAGAATCCATAACTTATTAGAAATGGTTCTTTTAGGAATCTTCACTTTGTATTAAATAATCAAGGCATGGATCAAAATGACTGCTCAAATCAATTGGGCTTTCTGGTAAGTTAGTCCTTAAAATCTATGTATGATAAATATAAAAAAAAAAACCTGGCATTCATTATCTTGGTTTTCTTCAGAGGTTTTTATACCCACCATTCTATAATTGTCTCTAAGAGACATTTAAGACAAAATCACAATGTTAGGTGTACAGCATTACCTGTAGATGAGCTGAGTATGTGGCAATGTGTGGTCACTTAAGATGCATGGTGTGCCATTTGGGTCCTCTTGATGTGTGCTGAGGTAGAGTTAGCCTTGTAGAGACTGATGTGTTCATGCAACCAGTGATTCTGTGTTATTGTATACAAAATGAACAACTAAAAATTCACCCTTGATGACACAATTTAAGCAAAAATAAACACTTTAAAGTTACACTTTACACATGGGGCTTCTGCTGTTTTCTCTTGGTTCAAACACAGGTACATAATTTCCCTACGCTTGTGAGTTGGGTAAGTGTTGAGTTTATATGTAGAAACCAGAAAACAATTCATTCGTGGGTGGAGGACAAGACCAAAACATAACAAAAGAGATAGAAGATATTGAGACTTTGAGTGCTTTTAATTGGAACACGAATAAGCCTGGCTCTGGTTCAAAACAAGGACTTTTACAAATGTGTGCAATAAACATGTTTATTGTTAACACAACTCTTACCCAGCTTTCTAGTAACACTGACAAATTTTATATAGTGTAATTAGGTTAATAAAAGATTTGCAATGTATACATGTAGATTCCAGCAACATGACACTGTGGGAAAAGTGTTCAGAACAAAATACCATCTGCTAAGATTTTCTCAAAGTGCAGTAAAAAACAGTGGGCAATTTGGAGACATTTAGATATTCTGAAAATTAAATGCCTAAATGTGAGCAGGGCCCAGGATCTTGATGATTAAAAAAACAATAATAAAGTCAATCCACCAGATCGCTGAATTTGGAATTGGGCATAACAAACCCAAAAAATAAGATCTGACAGCCAGAGTAAACTGCATCCAACAAATTTTGGTCTTCTACTTCTTTGTCTAGGTAGAAAATTCTCAATATAGAAATGTGGAGGGGGCCTTGCTGTGGCTTAGTGGGTAAAGATGCCACCTGCAATGCCAGCATCCCACATGGCCCAAGTAGTTGGGCTCCTTTACCCAAGTGGGAGACCTGGAAAAAGCTCCTGGCTTTGATCTCGCCCAGCACCAGCCATTTTGTCTGGAAGATGGAAGATATCTCTGTCTCTCCCTCTCTCTCTGTAACTTTGCCTTTCAAATAAATTAAATTTTAAAAATGTTTTTAAAAAATGTGGAGATAACTAAAAATTTCAGGATGGGTGTTTGTCAAGTAGGTTAGAATACCGATATGGAGATGTTTTTAAAAAAATTATTTATTTATTTGAAAGGTAGAATTACAGAGAGAAAGAGGGGTGAGAATCTTTGATCTGCTGGTTCACTCCCCAAATAGCTGCAATAGCCAGGGATAGGCCAGGTCGAAGCCAGGAGCCTGAGACTCTGGGTCTTCTAACTTGGGCCATCTTTCATTCGTCAGGAGTGTTAGCAGGGAGCTGGATTAGAAGTGAAGCAGCAAGAACTCAAACTGGTGCTCATATGGGATGCTGGTGTTGTAGGCAGCAGCTTAACCCACTGTGCAACAATGCTGGCCTCAAGAATATAGACTTTTCCAACCCCTGACGCAGACCTAAAGACATGGGAATCAAGTGACATACATGTTGCCTTCACTTCCAGGGTTGGGGTACAGGCTGAGTATCCCTTACCAAAATTCATGGAACCAGAAGTGTTTCAGATTTCAGAGTTTTAGCATTCTGTAATATCTGCAAAGCCTCTACCAGCTAAGCTTTTCTAATCCAAAGTTTTTTGAGTTTGGGGCATTTCAGATTTCAGATTAAGGATAATTAACCTACATTTATATTTACTCCATCTCTCCTCCTCTCCTCCTCTCTCCTTTTTTATTTTAAAAAATACTGTAGTGATAATTTATCAGTTTTTGAAGTAACAGCAGATCCAGTAACTTAAGCTGAAAGAGGACGTCAGTGTAAGAAGTTTAGTGGTGCCTCATAGAATCCCTGTGAAATAAGTGTTTCAATGGGGCCTCAGGATCAGTTCACATCAAAGACTTAAAAACTATCAAGGAATCCAAAAGCCTTCCTCTCCCAGCTGTGACGGGTTGTCTGAGATTGTGCAAAGCCAAAAACTGTAAATGATCATAACACTAGACAGAGTGTAGCAGGCAAGTGTTTTCAGTCTTGAGACAATAGGCAGTAGAAAACAGCCATCCTGGCCAGAAGTCACAAGTTGTCCATAATCACCTCAGCCCCTATGCAGGGATGATTTTCCGACTGTGGCATAGAAAGCCACAGTTCAGTACGCAAGTAGAATTGGACTGAACCGAGTTTATGGAAGTCAGAGTTGGGAAAAAGGGAAGTGGCTAGAATCTTTTCAGCTGTAAGAGGGTGGAAGGGGGAGATTCATAAATCCATATATAGGTCCCTCATGAATCCTTAGCTTAGGGCTTTACTGCATGTGTTCAAGTTGAAACTACCCAACGCTTAACAGTGGTTGCTATGGGATTGAGAGCAGAATTGAGATACTTGAGTTTGTGCATTGCCAGGAAACATCAAGTTCTGGCCCAAGGAGAGTGAAGTGACATTATTATTACATGTCTTAATAACTAGACATCCAGCTGAACACTTGAAAAGACTGTACCTAGGAATAAGGGCCACTCTCTGGATTAAGGCCTACTTCTGAACTAGCCTAAACTGTAGTGCTGACAAGATCTGCAAAGCACGGAACTGGGAGTTAAGGTCCAGCAATTTAGAGGGGTTTGGGACACACCTTACATAGGCTTTCACAGACTGGCTCCAAAAACAATCACCTGTTCTCCCCCCAACTTTGTGCCCCTCAAGACACCATGAAATCAAGATGATCAACTGATAACTGAACAGCTACCTAGAACAAAAATCAATATTCTTCAGAGGAAGATAATAGAATTCAGAATATTTACTTGTTTGTAACACTTCCTTCCCATTATCTGGGACATTAGATAATCAAGAAATTACCAGACACACACAGAAATAAGAAAATGTGACCAAGCATGAGAAAACAGCAGTCAATACCAACCAGCATTGAAAGGCCTACATATTGAACTTTGCAGCATCTACAATAAATACATTCAAAAAGTTAAAGGTAACTGTGGACTTAATGGGAAACTACATAAGAAAACTCTCTGGCCAAGAAATGGAAAATTAGAATGAAAATATGGGAATATAAAAGTAGATAACATACATAAAAAATTCACTGGATGGGTTTTTATAGAACTTGGAAGTAGCAACAGAAGGAGTCAGTGAACTTGATCAACACATATTACCCAATCTGAAGGAAAGACTGAAGAAAAATTAACAAACTGTCAGGGACATGCAGTGCACTATAAAATATGCATTCAAATGCCAGATAAGAGTAAGAATGGGCCAGAAAAATTTTTAAAGAAAACAATGGCCATAGATTACTCAAATTTTATGAACAATATCAACAAATAAAACCGGGAAGATCAGCAAACCATAAAGAAACTAAATAAGAAGAAAGCATATCCAGTAAGGAACTTTCTAGCCCAACATGTCAATAGTACCAAGGTTGAGAAGACTTACCCTAAGTGGATCAATTTTTAAAAATTTTTAAAAAGAGATACAGCACAGACAAGAGAGCAAATTAAATGGAATGCAAATTTATAATCAACCCAAAAGATAGGATGGAGCCATTAATGTGCAAAATTGAAAGTAACAAAAGGACAAATGTAACTCCAGCCTAACAACAACTACATTAGATATAAATGTCCTAAAGATTCTGCAATATCTTTTTTAAAAAATGTCATTGAGACAACTAGATATTTGTAAAAAAAATGAATTTAAAACCATTTTTCAACCTTAATAAAGCTTAAAATTTGAGATGGAGATACATCTGAATTTGAAACCTGAAGCCATAAAGCTTTTAGGAGAAAATATCTGAGACTTTGGGAAAGGTAAAGATTGGACACAAAAAGCATGAGCCATAAAAGCCATATAAAGGATTTTAGGAATGCACGATGGTACAAACAGCTTTAAGAACTATTTGAGCTATATGGCAACAAACTGGAAAGTCTAGAAGAAATAGATTTCTGGACACAGTCTACCTAAATTGAGTCATGAAGGCACAGAAAAACTAAATAGACCAATAACACAAGATGGAGATTGAATCAGTAATAAAAACCCTCCCAACAAAGAAAAGCCCAGGACTGGATAGTTTAACTGCTGAATTCAATCAAACCTTTAAAGAAGAACTAATTCTTCTCAAACTATTCAAAACAATTGAAAGGGTGGGAGTCCTCCCAAACTCTTCTATATGGCATCACCTTACTTTCCAAACCAGAAAAAGAGAACAACAAAGAAAATGAACTTCAGACCAATATCCCTGATGAACCTTGATGCAAAAATCCTCAACAAAATACCAGCTAATTGAATACAACAATGGTGGACGATCATTCACTCAAACCAAGTGGGATTTATCGTAGGGATACAAAGATGGTTTGACATATGCAAATCAACAAATGTGATACATCACAATAACAAATTAAAGAATAAAAACCATACAATTATCTCAACAGATGCAAAGAAAGCATTTGATAAAACACAATATCATTTCATAAAAAAACTTTAAGAAAACTGGATATAGAAGGAACATCCCTTAACACAATCAAGGCAATCTGTGACAAACCCACAGTCAGCATCTTGAGATGGAAAAGCTGGATGTATTTCCATTAAGATCCAGAATCAGACAAGGATGCCCACTTTCACCACTGCTATTCAATACAGTCCTGGAAGTTTCAGCCAGAGCCAGTAGGCTAGAAAAATAAATCAAAGGGATACAAACTGGAAAGGAGGACATCAAATTATTCATATTTGTAGATGACATGATCCTACATGAAGAAAACCAAAAGACTCCACTAAGAGACTCATAAGAGAGTTTAGTAAACTTGCAGGGTATAAAATCAACACACAAAAATCAATAGCTTTTGTATACACAAATAATCTTGTGGCCAAGAAAGAACTTGTAAAATCAGTACCATTCATTGCAGCTACAAAAAATTTAAATATCTTGGAATAAATTTAACCAAGGATGTGAAAGATCTTGACAGTGAAAATTATAAAATATTAAAGAAAGAAATAGAACACACAAAAAATGGAAAAATCTTACATGGTCATGGATTGAAGAATTAATATAATAAAAAATGCCCATACTAACCAAAGCAATTTAGATTTCAATACAATCCCAATCAAAATACCAAGGACATTCTTCTCAGATCTAGAAAAACTGATGCTAAAATCCATATGGAAACACAAGAGATCCTGAAT